AAAAAAAATCATAAGTGGTATGGAATTTTCAAAGGTATTGGCTTCAGCAAGTCCATACAGGGGGTGTCCAAACTTTTGGCCTCTCTGGGCTGCACTGGAAGAGTTGTCTGGGGCCACACATTAAACACATTGCGACATGTAATCACAAAAAAACCTCATGTGTTAAGTAAATTTACGATTTTCTATTGGACCACATTCACAGCCATCCCTGCGTTGCATGTGGCCCATCTCTGCTTTAAGAAATAGTGTGCCAAACATTAGCTTCATCCATATTAATGACAAAGTTGATTCAGTTAAGCAAAATTTTGTGTTGTTATATACCAGTTGCCTATTTGGTAACATTATAAATGATATTTGTTCACCAGGGAAATATTTCAAACAGAAATATTTAATTAATTTATTGTTCAGACTGATTTAGGATGGGTAGGAATGGCTAAGCCATTAGCAAGGAAGGCCTCAAAGAAATTAGTCTGTGTCTATAAGAAAGAAGGCTGTGATCAAGTGAAAGTAAATTTTGAATGTCCTCTGGCTAAGGAATATCACTGAACATTTGGTGAACTGGACCCTTTTATGGGGTGTTGCTAGGTAACAGAAGATGACAAACTAATACATTTTCACATCTTCTCAATCTATTTTAACTTTCCAGGTGCTCACATAACCTCTGACCAATTATTTCTAAAGGTTGAATGTTGTACCTCATGAGACAGTCCATAGCATGTTTAAAATGACAATTAAAAACTTCTCTATGCTAACCTAAACTTCATCTCCTATTCTTTTGCCCTTTGGAGTTTCACAAAAATAAGTAGTCATTTGTATACTAATAATATTGTATTAGAATATTTAATGACAGAAAACTTTGGTTTTCTAATCAGAGCTTCCTATCAACAATCATCTAAATGACTGATGGTTTACATTATGATAAATACAACTCCACAAATAACTCAAATTATTTGCTCTTTATAATCTGAATTTGGAAACTGAAAACTAAGAATGTAGAGTTAAAAGATTCTCCTAGGGAGCATGTACTTGAATAAACTTGTAAGATAAAACTTTTTTTTATGTCAAGTTTACTCTTGAAAATCTCTTAAAATACTGACAAAATAAATCTCAATTAAGTCGATTTTACCTCCAGGTTTGGAATAGATTGTTCTTTTGGCTGGGTTGCAGATAAAGCAGTTGTTAAGCAGTTAGGAGACACATCGTATGAAGAATACCTCTATTCACTTGGCACGAATGCATTGTTGAAATTATGCGTAAGACACAAAACGTTATTGGGCACCACTTCGTGTGGTATCAGGAATTGTACCCCCTCACAAGCCAGGCCTTGAAAAAGGACATGTCTCAACCAGAAAACTGGGAATGCTGGGAGGCAGACATGATCTGATCTAATACTGAGGGTTCCTGTGGGAAATCTAACCTAAATAATGCATTGTATCCACTGAAGTTTGCTCTGCTTTGCACTGCCCTGCTAAGGAAAAACCAGATGTTTAAGCTCCAAACAAGAGTGAGTTCCTAAATACAGGAGCCATACCTTAACTACAGTCAGCTTGTCTTACAGACCCTGACCTGAGGCAAATTTCTGTGTTCCTTCAATTGTTATCTATGATCTGTTTTCTGTAAATACAGCCTTTAGGCATTGATTGATAAGCTTTGCATGCATGCATGCTGTTTACCCCTGCGCATATCATTCTCAATAAAAGCCACTTCAGAGAAGGGCTGGGGGCATTTCCCAGTAGAGGGAATCGCCATCCCCTTTCCTTGACAGACAATTGGTGTCTGGAATGACTCCTTATTTCATCTGCTGTGAATTGGAGGACTCTGCGGGACTGGGTCCACCACAACATTACAGAATGTTTCTTTAGTGTTTTCCATTGAAAGAAAAAAAGCACTTATTGAATATATTCAACAAGCCAGGCATTGTGCAAGAGTAGCAGCACTTGTCACATATTCATCAATAAATGTGGAAAAACAGACAATTTATTAACTGAATGAGGAATCTACTTCTTGAGATGAAACTGACATGTAAAAGAGAAGATTAAGGGGAAAAAGTATGGTAACACGAAAGTGATGTTCTTCAGAGGAAAAAATGGATAGTGATGCAAACAACTCTACTGCTGTATCTTGAAAAATAAGTTCACAAGTGTCATCTTCCAGTTCTCTAAGTATTTCGTAAAAATTTGACAGAACAATGGTTTGCAGAGTATTCACTTTTAAGATTAACTTACAAGAAGCTCTAAGTAATGCTGTTTATTTAGCAAAATAAAAATTATTTTTTTACTAGGAAAAATTACAGATATTTTCAAATGGACTGCTCAATGAATCCTTTCAAGATATGTACTTCTACGGAAAAAAGTCATTTTATGAACAGGAACTAGATTTACCTACTTGTTACAGTGGAAAATGTTTTATAAATTGTCATAAATCAATAACGATAACAAAATAACCCAGCAGCCATCATAACAGGGTTTTCCCAAGAGAAAACAATGGAGGAATATTACATCAAGTCTTACATACCTCTGCCATTTGATGGAGGTACATTTTGTTCAAATAAAGATTAAAGGCAGCCTTGATGAGGGAAAGAATTCAGTAATGTCCAATACTTGATGGATACTGAAGAAAATAGAAAAAGGCATTCCCCAAACCTTTCTGAAGGATCAGTCTGAGTAGGGAGAGTTCATGATAGGTAGATGGTGTATGTAGGAGCCATAGGGTTTTTGTTGTTGTTGTTTTTAGGTTGTGGTGGATGTACTGCCTTCTTGGTAAGTTGATTCATCCATCAGTAGTGCCAAACCATAGCAGTTCTGTCAAAATTTGGCCATTTGAAGTATAGAAAAGATAATGTGAAAATACACTCAATCATTAAGATCTTACTAATGACCAGTTACTTCATGACCATGAACAACCATCAACCTTTATTTCCTCTTCTGTAAATTAGTAATATATGGCAAGTAACTTTAAGGAATAGGAGAGAGAACAAATAAATTGAAACTTCAAAAAGCACTGTGCAAACCATAAAACATGATAAAGGACTACAGAGATTTAGAGAGTTCATAGAAAAAAATCTAGTGTGAACATTTTATTTTGATAAAACAAATTACAATTCTTACATTCTAAACTCCCAAAGTTTTACTTATTTAAAAAATAGGAGACAGGCATCCTGGACTCCAAGATTTCAGGCATGAATAAAATAGTACCAGATTTTCAAGTTATATAAGCTAGCTGCATTTTATATACCATAAAAGTGAAGAAAATTGTGACATACATTCATCAGTTTCAAATGTACCTATGAGAAACACAAGAGGCTTCTTGAGTTTCTAACCACACAGTTTCATATCAACAAACATCTAAGTAACTGACACAATTTCCATTAATGGTAAATACAATTTTACAAATATGAAATTACACAAATCATTTGCTTTTTATAATCTCATTTTGGAAATTGAAAAGTAAGAGGAATGTAGAGTTAAGTAGCTGAAAATGCTACACAAGGACATTATAACATGGAATGCTACAAGTAGTTTCCCTCAGGAATGATTTTTGAAAACTTAAGTAAATTTTATCAGAAAAATTAAAATCTTTAGTGTGAACGGCAAGTTAAATGAAGTATTGGCTCAATCTTTAAAGATCTAGCAAATTATAAGATTTTGTGCAATTAATTAGTAGCATACACATTTAAGAGATTAGTACTGACTGTTTAATAGAATGTTTAGATGGTTCAGAAGTGTCTACTCTTTATAGTTCACTTTAGCTTTACATGCCAATGGAATGTAAGATTCCTAAGTGCAAAGTTACAGCTTATTCTGCATGAGATACAGGTAATGTGCGAACAATTCAGAACCAATGTCTGCTTTCACCTTCAAGGAACCTATTTTTAATTTACACAAAATTATTTTTATTTTTCACCCACATGTATGGAAAAAGTGCTTCTTAAATGTACATGGCATGGCCCATTTCTATGATCCTAAAACAAAAATAAAGGCACATAAATGGGTAATAGTTTATATATTTTATGTAAATTTTTTTCAGTAATCTTAAATTCAATCTAGAGAGGTGTGACAAACTTGTTACAAATTTCCACGACTTCAGAAATTAAAAATCTAAGACCTCTGTAAAGAGTGCAATTGTGTGCAATTCATATATTAGTTCATTCACTCTCCAAACTAACTCACCCCTTAATCTCCACAGGCTGCAGGTACTTGTTTTAGCGATTACGTACCAAAAAGACTAAGGGAGAAGGAGTTGTTGGAATTACTCTCCCACAAAAGTTGTTCTGAATCTTGTTACAAATAGATTTAATATGCTGATGAGTTAAATTGTACAATAATTATAAAACATTCACACTAATACATTTGAATGGAATGTTATTTAAGAACCACAGGTAAGTCTTTAATCTTTATGAACAGTATTTGTCATTTAATTCAATAGCTAATGGCATTTAAATACAGAAATAGTACCATCTCTTCTCTTTTCTCTTTTATAAAGTGCTATTTTTAACTGGGTAGATTTACTATCCAGCTTTTCAATAACTTGACTATACATCTATAAGATTCAAGGAAACAATAAAAAATTGAAAGGATTTAGTATTTTAAATATTGGCAAAGTACTCCTACAAAGCATAGAAACTATGAGCATGTTTTATTAGTAAAACAAAAAGTGTATCTCCAGTGAGTTATTAAGCTTAGTTAATGATTACTTCACAGAAGCAGAAGTTCACTAACATTTATGCCAATTTTTGCTAATCATCTAAACCAGAACAGTTTTTCTAGGCAATTCAACTCTAAGCACCACCAAATAGGGTCACGTCAAATAGAGCCAATGGCTATATAACTCCAGAATAAAAACTTCAGCAAATTTAGATTTTTAGAATAGCGAAACTAGATAGTGAGAATCAGAACCAAAGGAAACATTTTTATTTTACTTAGAAGTACCATAGATTATTGAAGATGTTTTCTTTAAATGAAAATCTGTGTAGTTAATAATATACCTTAATACTGAGTGCAGTGGTACGAGATAGTTAAGAGGAAAACATACTACAGATTTACGCAAAAGCGAGTGTTGCCTAATTTTTGAGTTGTGATTAAATCTGAAATTACTTTTTAAAAAATAATTAAACACTTCTTATAATACAAATAGGATACCAACAGGATCCCCATTTTTATTCACATCATTCTCTAATTAGTATTTTTGCATTTCAACTCTTACCTAACCTTCTGTAGTATCTTAAAAAGCAAATGCAATTAATAAAACTACAGGGCAGTATGTAGCTTTGTTCACACTTAAATACTAATTTTCATTATAATTTGCATTTCTTGTTGTTTTTGGAATAGTAACTACTTTCAAAAACATATACACAAAAGTGCAATATTCCTTACTTTGCATGGCATCCAATAATGGTTAAATCAAAGAAAGCCTCAGTCATCAATTCTGTACCCCAATTTTAGATATATTTTTAGTCCTCATAAACGGGGACTCCAGGGCAGAGGGTTGGCATGGGGAAAAGAGGCATGGGGAAAAGTTAAGGTTTGATGAACCACTTGGAAAAACGACTTCATCCCAAATACTAGGGGGAAATGTTTCAGACCCATTCCAACCCCCCAAGTAAGAATGCATAATTTAGCCTAAGTCTTTTCTAGTCTCACCTGCTTACACCCAAGATTCTATTTCGCAAGACAAATAAAACTTATAATTTTCTAAAAAATATATTTTTACCCAAAAACATTGGACTTCGGTCTCAATTTGAACGAGGGTAGGTGGCCTTTAAGAGACCGATCCTCTTCTTCCTGCTCCCCTTCCTCCAGTGGCTGCTCCGGGTCTCTGAAAGAGGGTGTGGTGTGTATGATCTGGGTTCGAAAGTGGATTTTGTTGAGTCTAGGTTTTATTCGCCCACTAGAGCTTCCTGCAGCTTTGCGACCTGGGTCCTTTCCTTTGCCTCCAGTCCATCCCTCAGCCAGGTGGTGGTGGTGGTGGTGGTGGTGGTGGTGGTGGTGGTGGTGGTGGTGGTGAGGATCTCCTCCATCCTCCAGGACATGCGAGAGTTTGTAGGTGATGAGGTGCGAAGGGAGCACCTTTGAAAACCTCCAGCGCCCACCCGCGCTGCCCACGGCGCTCTCCCCGTCGTCTTCGTCCAGGGCTCCCACTAGGTTCTTGATTTCCTCGGCGATGCTCTGACTCAGGTACTGCGAGGCCTTTTTCCCACTGTAGTCCCTGACGTCCACATCTGCGTCGTAGGCCCCCACCAGCAACTTCACCACCTCCACGTGCCCATGCATGGCTGCCAAGTGCAGGGCAGTGTAGCCTCCACTTGTGCGGGCGTTGATGTTCACTGGCAGCTGGTGTTTGTTGGCGAAGTTGACTAGCATGGCCAGGAGCTCCTGCCGGCCGTGCTTGGCGGCCCAGTGCAAGCAAGTGAAGCCGGTGATGAAGTCCCGCTTAGCCAGCAGGCCGGGCTCACAGGTGAGCAACGTTTCTAGGCTGTCCCACTTGCACTCCGAGGCCGAGAGCATCCAGGCGTGTTCCAAAGGGTCCAGCGTCACCGAGCCCCCGCTGCTGCTCTCCTCCTCTGCCAACGACGAAGCAACGGAAGTGCTGTCCGAGTCGGCCCCGCCTTTGCCGCGTCCTCCCCCAGAGAAACCCCCGGCGCTGCTGCCCCAAGTACAGACGCTCCTCTTCAGCTGCGGGGAGCTGCCCATCACAAGATCCCGGAGGTTCTGGCGAGTAGACCTCGGGATGGTGGTCCCCCCAGAAGAACTTCCCCCTTCCGCCTCCTCGCACCCGTGGGGCTGCGCCTCCAGGTCCTCGCTGGTCGCGAGGGTCGGTCCCCGGGCCACAGGCTGAGCGCCGCGCCGCGAGTTCCTCCTACGGGCCCCGCCGTTTAGGGGCGGCCCGCTCTGGCTGTCGTCCGTCAAGCTGGTCGGCCCAAGAGCGGCAGCGGAGAGCTCCCCATCGCCGGGCTCGCAGACCGGGCCCGGGGAGGGCGCCACCGGCGACGCCACCTCGGGGCAGAGGCCACTCTCCTGGCCCTTCGCCGGGCCGTTGGTCCTCTCTAGGGCGCCGCCGCGGGACTCAGCCTCTGTGCTCGCCGAGACGCGGGGCAGGTCCCGGCGGGGGACGGCCTTGGGCGACGGTGGGCTTTCACAAAACTTTCTCTTGAGGTGCACATACTTGGAACCGTCGTCGGGGTCGGTTCTCACGGTGGCCACGGCGTTGACCAGTTCCTTGAAGCGGGCGCGCTGCTCCGGCTCGCTGCCCAGGACGCCCGAGAAGTGCTGCACCAGCTCCGAGCGCCGGACCCGGCCCCCGCGGTCCGCGAGGAAGCGCAGCACCGCCTCGGGGCCGAGCTCTGCCGGGCCCTCCATCCGCAGTCACGCGGCTCGTTTAGCGGCTGGCAGGCGGGCGCTTCAACCTGGCCCCATCGCGACCCGCTCCCAGGTGCGGTGTCCTTCGGCTCCAAGTCGTCAGTCTACAGCAGGAGACACCGCCACCACTCCCCAAGGCCGCGCCCAGCGCAAACACGCCCCCGGCGGCCCCGCCCCGCCCCTTTCCGGTCCCCGCGCCAGCCGCAATCTCGGCTCCAGTCAGCCGCCCGCGAGGACTGGCCCCCACGCACCGCCCACTTCCGGCCCTTGCACCCGCAGGAGTAACCGCTCCCTCGACCACATGTCAGCTGGCTGAACAGTGCCAGCCGCATTATTTTCGCGTCGTCTTCCTCACGTTGCCAGTGTCCTCTAGTCACCTTCCCCCTTCAAGCCCCGTGAAACGTAGAGCACATTCCTGTGAGAGCTTTACTCGCGCCCGCGTCGTGGAGGCCGTCAGGTTTAGCCCCGCCCTTCCACCAGACGGTGGAGGCCGGCCCTTCGAATTGCACCGCCTACGGCCCGCGCCTTGAGCGCCGGGCGCGTTTAAACCCTCCCCAGCCCACTGGCTCCCGCCGTTGGAATCTACTGCTCGGGGCTTGGCTGAGACCACCGTTCCGCTGGCCCTCAGCCCGCTTCGCTCAGCTCCCCCCCGAAACCATGACCTCTGAGGAGGCGCGGCACCTGGTGAGTCCGGGCAACCTTTCCCCACGGCTTGACTCCCAGGATCTCCGCCCTGTCCTTCCCGGGGTCCCAACGTAACTTCCTCCCTCTGGAGCTCAAGCTGGCCGTGGGTCCCGGCTGCGTCCGGCCCCGGCGGCGGCGTTGGTGGGGACCCGCCCTCCACGATCCTCACGGGCTCCGCGGCCAGTCGGTTAGACGAAGGGGTGCAGGGACCCTCTCCTGCTGTCCGCGGGGCATTGGCGGGTGGCGCGCAGGATGCCCCTCAGCTCTCTCCGCCCGGCGGGAGCGACGGGCGTGGCTTCCCATCTTGGCTAAGAGTTAAATCTGAAACAGTGATCGTGGGTCCATCGTTTTTATAACGGTTTTGGACGCACAAAGCCGACTAATACAACAGTAGTGATCTTTTACAGTTGTCCACCTTTCCCTGACTCTACTCGCTGAGGTCCCGCTGGTTCACTCCCTTGATTAACCCAACTGTGCGCTCGTCCACGACGTTCCCTAGTTAAGATTTGCGCCTCCTCCTCCCAGCCCCTCCTGTTTTTCTTTTTGTTTTTTGTTTTCTTTTTGTTTTTGTTTTTGTTTTTTTAATTTGTTTTTTGCCGTGGCACTCTAGTGCATTAAAATAACATGTGTGACTTATTCGTCCGGTGTTTTATGCCTTTCAAGTGAGCTTTATATTTCTCATTTGATAGTAAGCTTGCGTTTCTGAAAATGTGGTCACAATTCTAACATTAGTCTCTTTCACATTTTGGGTATACGTTGAGTTTTTCAGAGGTTACAGGTTGTGGGGCCGATGGAATGTGTCTCTGTGAATACTTGTCATTTAAATTTTTTGTTTTAATTTCTAATACTATAAATATCAGTGATAGTAATCCATGCAAACAAGACCTCTTTGGGGTCCTGAGATCAAAAAGTCTGAGAACTGGTCTAAACAATCTCCTGAGTTAGTTTCTGTTGTAGGAACAGATTTCAGATTGTAGCCTGAGAGGTTAGGTGATGTATCCAAAGTTATACAGCCAGTTTCTTTGATAGAACTTGGACAGCCCTGATTCAGCTCAGGTCTCTTTCTACTCTGTGATATATTTAGAGAAGTCTCAGTTTTTCTATCAAGACTGCCTTGTTAGAGTTGATGTGTTTGTGTGCATGGGTGGGTGAGGAAAATGTGTTTTTATAAACTTCAGTTCGTAATGTTGCCAGTGGAAGTGGGACTCTTTCACCAGCTGGGAAGAAAGCATTTCATGGATGCACACACTGGAGATTGTGGTGTGGCAATATTTGGGTGGAAATAGAAGACTGCCCCTGGCCCTGACCCACATGGCTCAGTTGCTTGGAGCATCTCCCCCAAACTGAAAGATTGAGGGTTCCTTTCCAGTTGGGGCACATGCCAGGGTTGTAAATTAAATCCCTAGTCTGGGCATGTACAATCCCCTGTTCGGGTGTGTATGGGAAGCAACTGATTGATGTTTCTCTCGTGCATGGATGTTTCATTCTCTCCCTTCCTCTTTCTCTAAAAAAGCAGTGAAAGAAATTTCCTTTGGTGAGAATTAAAAACAAAAACAAAAAAACAAAAAACTGCCCATGTGTGTGTGCCCTCTCTGTCAGTCCTGGCATGGAAAAAGTCCAACCGTGTCTTCAGCAAGACCGAAACAAAGGCCAGTGTCCAGAGTTTCAGTTTCATTTAAAGCTTAATCCGTTGGAGCCCACAGCAACTGCTAAGTGATCTCAGTCCCAGTCTAGGTAATTGAGTGCTATTCCCTGCTGCACGTCTGTACCCAGTCTCCTGCTTGGAACTTGCATTTGGATTCCTCACGGGTGACACCCTGCGCAGCTGCTAAACCCACATATTTGAACTGATGGGACCAGTGCATGTTTCCAGATGAGAGAGACAGAGAATGTGTCTTTATTAAACTGGGTTATATTATCTCAGGCTTGGGACTGACCAGGCACTTTTTTAAGATAACCAATCAACTTCCCAAGTTTTCCTGGGCTTCTGATTGTTCCACTCCCTTGCCAGCTGATCCCTTTCCCAGGTTAGACAGACAGACCTCTATGGTCCAATACCTTCCCTATTGTACATATGCTTACCTCCCCTGCTGTATTCCCACCCCCAATCAGGTATTAGCAGTGCTTCTCCTGGGGAGATTTCCTGTCAGCTCCATCTTGGTGGCAATTTCCTGGAGTGTGTGAATGAGTCTGTAAATGCTGTAGATTCCTGGTGAAGCAAGCAGGCTTATACTCCGTGGTTGATTTTGCTTATTAATGTCTAATTGCCTTTGTTTCCTTCACTTATTAATAACTAGTTACCTACCTACAGTAACAATAATAATCTTCAGAATTAAACTTGGCTGAAGAGACCACTTCATTTAATTGGTGTTGGATTTCTTGTCAATTGCTGCACTTATTTTGCAATGAGGCAAAATATAGTAATAAGGCTACCTTTATTTCTAATTTAACTTTTCTTGTTGAGATCATTGTAGAGTCACATGCAGTAGAGATCCCTATACCCTTTCTTCCGTTTTCTTCAATAATAAAATTTGCAAAACCATAGTACAACATAAGACCACAACCAGGACATTGACATTGATATTGTGAAGATAGAGAAGTTTCCAACACTGAAATGATCCTTTTTATACTCATTCCCACTTCATTTCCACCTGACCTCCTTAACCTCCAACAACCACTAACTTGTTCTTCATTTATATACTTTTGTCATTTCATGACTGTTATATAATAGAATCACACACTACTTAACATTTTGGGATTGGATTTTTTTTCTCCCAGCAAAATTCTCTGGAGATTCTTCAGGTTGTTTCATGAAATCATGAGTTTGTTCCTTTTAATTGCTGAGTAGTATTCCATTGTATGGATGTACCAAACTTTGAGGGACATCTAGGTGGTTTCCATTGTTGGGCTATTATGAATGAAACTCCTAGAGACACATGCACAGTAATACATAATATAACATAATGAACATATAAGTCTTCAGTTCTTGGGGATAAATTCCCAGCAGTACAGTTGCTCAGTCACATGGTAGCTGGATAAAGATTTATAAGAAACTGCTAAACTGTTTCCCAGGGTTTTTGCACATTTCCCATGCCCACCAGTAATGTATGAGAGATTGGGTTCTCCCCATCCTTACCAGCATTTGGAGTTCCTATTTTTTATTTTGATAGATATATAGTGATTTATTGTGGTTTTGCTTGTGTTTGTTTCTATAATAGCTAATGATGTTAAACATCCTTTCATGGGTTTATTTGCCATCTAAATATGCTCTTCAGTGAAATGTCTTTGCCCATTTTCCAAATGGATTTTTAAAAATTGTTGGTTTTAGTGGGTGTTTTTAAAAAAGATTTTTATTTATTTATTTTTAGAGAGGGGAAGGGAGGAAGATAGGGAGAGAAACATCAATGTGTGGTTGCCTCTCGTGCTCCCCCAACTGGAGACCTGGCCCGCAACCCAGGCATGTGCCCTAGACTGGGAATCGAACCAGTGACCCTTCGATTTTCACACTGGCGCCCAGTCCACTGAGCCACACCAGCCAGGGCTAGAGGGCTTTATTTTAAAAAATATATTCTAAATACTAACCCATCCTTGATAAGGGATTTGCAAATGTTTTCTCTGTGGGTTTTTTTTTTTTTTTTCATCTTCTTAATAGAGCCTTTTGCAGAGCAAAATTTTTTAATTTTATAAAATCCTTTTTAAAAAATTTTACCTCCTATAGATTGTGCATTTGTCAAGTCTAAGAATCCTTTGCCTAACCGTAGATCCCAAAAGTATTCTCTTATGTTTTTCTTCTAAAGAGAATAAAAGTATTCTCTTATGTTTTTCTTCTAAAGAGAATAAAAGTATTCTCTTATGTTTTCCAGTCTATGTTTTGATTCATTTTGAATTAATTTTTATATAAGCTGTGAGACTTAGGTCAACTGTGTTTTATTGTTTTTTTGTTTTTGGCATAGGGATGCTCCAGCATCATTTGTCAAAAAGGCTGTCTGTCTGCTTTTGAATTCCTTTGATACTTTTGTCAAAAATCAGTTTAGCATATTTTTGTGGACCTGTTTCTGGGTTTTCTATTAGCACAGCCTTGATTCCTGTCACTAAATAATAAGTTTTGAAATACAGTAGAATGATTCCTCTCACGTTATTTATTTTTTAAAATTTGTTTTTGCCTTTCTAGTTCCTTCGCCTTTAATTATAAATTTTAGATTAGTCTTCTTTATATCACAAAGAATTTTGCTGGGATTTTTATAGGAATTACATTAAATCTGTATATCAATTTAGGGAGAATTGATATCTACTACTTTCAGTCTTCCAAATTATGAACACATTATTTCTCCCCATTTCTTCATATTTGATTTCTTTTATCAGCGTTATTCAGTAGACAAGTCCTACATATGTTGTGCTACATTTACAATAGTTCCCCCATTTTCCCAGTATATACATTCCAAGATCCCAATTAGATTTCTCAAACTGTGGGTACCCTATATGTGTTATGTTTTTCTTCTTATACATATAGCCTTTCCACTTAAAAGGAAATCATTTTACAGCTTCTCTTTGGCATATCCAGATTTCCAGCATTACTACTCGAGCTTTGGGACCATTACGGTGTAAAATAAGGGTTATTGAACACAAGCACTGCAATACTGTTGATCTTATAACTGAGAAATTACTAAGTTAGTAACAGATGGATAGCTTATACATAGTGCGGATACACTGGCCAAAAGGATGATTTGCAGCCTAAACAGGATGGAGCAGGGTGGTGTGAGATTTTGTAATTTTACTCAAAACAGTATGCAATATAAAACTTAAAAATTATTTCTGGAATATTCCGTTTGAAATTTTCACACTGGTCGATCATGGCAACTGAAACCATGGAGCAAAACCATGAATAAGGGGGGACTATTGTAGACGTATTTCATTTTATTTTTAGCAATTGTAAACTTTATCTGTACACTCGATCTTAAAATAACATGAAATGCCTTTCAATTGTATTTACCAATCATGAA